TGTGCTCCAGCTCCTGCATCTGTAACATGAGTGTAATAATTGTTCTACCTCGTAGGCTGATATGAGAATTAAATCTACTAATGTGTGAAACATCTTAAAACGGTGCCTGACCCCGTAATAAATTCGATTGAACAGTTAACTAGAAAACAAGTCAATAAAAAATGACCCTGACCAGTGTAGAATTTTCAGGGGTCCTTGAAATGTTTAATAGGGGCCACCACTATATTTGCACCTCTTTACTTACAAGAAAAGTAAAGAGAACTTTTTCACCTGCTTAGCTGAGATCTCATGCAGATGAATCTCCATTCTGTGCTCCAGGGAGCACTGAGATGGGTAACTTTCAAAGTATTCAAGTTATCCCGAGGTCCTGACTGTCAGAGCTAAAGGCACGGGAGTCGGTTAGTTAGTTGTTTTGAGTGGTGGAGGTTGTCAATGCTACTTCAGAGCCAAAAGGCCACCAAGAAGACTAAGGGGATATTTGCAGGGCTGATGGAAAAGTAGAGTGTTTCAATTATGTGGAGTTGAGAAATGCATCATGTCCAGTTATAAAGTATCTCACATTTTATTTATTTATTTGGTTGGCAGAGCTTGCATTCCTGGCATTTTTGGTTGGTTTGTATTGCTGTTTCTTTCTTTTTCTTTATTTCCTTATTTTTTTTTGTCTGCGTAATTTTTTTTTTGTTTCTTAAAGAGACCAGACCACCCTGTAGGAGATCACCTCCCTCCATGAGACAAACTAGCCGTGGTCAGCCTCCCAGAGCCCAGCTTGCTCTGGGCTGCATCAGAATCTCTGCAAACCCAGAGCTGGTTAGTGTAGGTCAGGAGTTTTCAGGAAAGCCAGGCTCCCTATTTCTAAGAGCACAGATAACTCTACAAAGGTCATATTGACAGCGCAGTAAGACACCTCTCTGGTTTGCAGAACGACCCATGGCTGTGGTGGCATTCCATGAGTTTGCACTGAAAGTAGATTCTTACATTCACCAGTTGTAGAGGTCTTCCAGAAACACGTATGGAGCCTGTATTATGTACTTGGCACTTGCACGTAAAATAGTGCTGTTGCACTCTACACCAACTCTGGGGAGGTCTTATTTTATCTATTTTTCAGATGAGAAAATGATATTTCGAGAGATGCATAATTTGCTCAAGGCCACACTGTTAGAAAATGACAAACTGATGAGCTGTTGCAGGCATTTGATGCCTAAAATAAAAGCACTGTGTTATTCATAGAAACTCTGGAAATTAGAAGAGGGACATACAAGAAGGCAGTGATGGTTGGCACTTTGGGGGCTGAAGAGGTGCAGAGGCTCCCAGCCACCCTGCACGAACGACTCCTGAGCCTGGGGAAAGGCCTGTACGTGCCCTGCCTCCAGACCTGGCAGTCAGGTATACTGCTTTACGAAGATGCCGGAAGGTTCCAGCAATGC